AGAGGGAGGGAGAAAGGAGATGGGAATAAGAAGGACAGAGGGAGGGAAATGGGAAGGAGGGGTAGGGAGATTGGAATGAGGGAGGGAGAGTTTGAGGGAAGTCCTGTCTTAGCACTTGGCCACCAGCAGCCCTGCTGCCCTTTTGTCATCCTCTTGATCTCTCCTCCTGGTGGTCTCCCATCTTATCACTAAGGATGCATTGGTTACAAAGCTGGATCTCCCCGCATGGAGTGGGAATGGGCCTCCCTCTGATCCACACACTTTGCCCTTTTGCACCCACCATGAGCAACCTGACCGAGGAGAGTGAGCACAGCAGGAGCAGCCTCAAGGAGGTAAGCATAGCTGGGCAGCCCCTCAAGGAAGCAGGGCTGGACTGGGCTGTGGGGTCATGGAGCCCCAGGAGCTTGAGGGCTGGACTAGGCACTTGCCCTCTACTGCCCAGGGCTCCGTGTCAGTCCTGGAAGCCATCTTTTGCTGCCACATTTAATGCCTGGGAAAATTGTAGGGGGGATTGCAAGGAGTGCTGGAGGATTAGCCATAACAACATTCCTTTCTCTGAGAGTCAAGGGCATTCAGCCTGCACCTGGATGGGAGTGTTTGGGAGTTGTCTCCAGTTGGGATGGTGAATTGATTGGACCATGTGATGGACTTGTCGATGCAGGGGATGGATCTTTGACTTTCTTTTGGGTGGGGAAAACCCGGGACTCTCAGATTCAGGTTATCCCAGATGTGCATCTCTAATAAAATGGAATTTTGAGGAACTTCAGCCTCAGAGTCTTCTTTTGTTGGGGGTGTTACTTGGAACCTTGACACTCAGAGAACCCATACTGCCATCTGGGGGTCCTCTGCATGGCCTGAGAGGGACGGTTAGGCTCCTCTAGTGGACTAGGCATTGTCGCTCACCTTGGTCTCACCTTCCTCTGCTGGAGACCTTCGGACACCCCCACCTGCCTTGCTTTGCCCCCCACAGTAGGCAGAGGGTGATGCTGCTTTGTATGGAAGCATGGAGGAGAAAGTTTGCAGGAAGCTGTTTCCTCCAAGTCCAACTTCTGCCTTGACAGATCTCTGGAGAGAAGGAGGGGATGGCGAGGGAACTGTATGAGGGAAGGCTGTCCCAACAAGCCAGCATCCTTATGTCACATGATTGGAAATGGTAATTCCCTTTCAAGAAGGGGCAGCCTCCCTTGTTCAGGACCAGGGAGCACTGCTCCCCTGCCTCCTCCTCTTGCTCTCCAGAGATCTGTTAAAACAGAAATTGGGCTCAGAGGAAACTTCTTCCTGCAAACTTTCTCTTCTGCGCTTCCACACACAGCAGTGCACAGGTGGGTTGCTCCCAGTTCGGCCCGGATCGGGCAAACTGGTAGTGGCAGTGGCGGGAGGCTCTGCCTACCCACCCACCCGGATGCTTCTGGGCATACACAGAAATGTCGCACACACGCACACGCAAGCACGAGTGAACCAGTAGCACTGGGATTTGCAACCCACCCGTGCAGCAATGCTGACCTCCGCCTCCTGCTTTGCTGGGAGGGGGCACCAGACAGGGAAATGCCAATGATGTCTGGGATTTGGAGAAGAATGTTTCCTTTGGCATGCTGTGCACATGTGTCCACACTCACAGAAACCATTCCAAGCTTAGAGACTTTTATCCACATCTGAGCTTACAAAGTGCCAATCATGCCTGGGCTTAGAGAGAAGGCCCTATCTTTCCTCTGTGGATAAATGTCCCCGAACTTGGCTGCCAGAAGTTTGGCAAGGCAAGGAGCTGGTGGGGCACCGATTTGTCCCCATGTCAAGTTAGTTGGTGTGACTTGTTCCATCCCGACCCAAATTGCTTATGAAATAAACCTCTGAATTTTAAAGTAAGATTTTGTTGCCAGCCACGCTCAGTGAGCGGCATCAAGCCAGCCAGCCAGCCACCCCCACCCATCCAAACCCACCTAGTCATGGTGACCTGGTTATTGGCCCTTTGAGGGCAACCATAATGCTGATCTGGCACTCAATGAAATTGAGGTTGACACTCCTACTGTAACCATACCACATAATCAAGTCTATTGATTTTAATTCCTATCTTTCATTTCAATGATATATTTAAGGATAGTGAGCAATTATTAATCTATTTTTTTTCTCTAAATTGCAAGCTGTATCAACGTTAGTTAGCACTTTGATTATTGTCCCCTTTCCCTTCAATTTCATCCGATTCTTGGATACTGCTTTGACAAATCCCTGCATTTTCTTTGCAAGATTTCAGAAGTGGTTTTCCTTTGTTTCCTTCCTAAGGATGAGAGAAAGTGACTGGTCCAAGATTAAACAGCTAGCTTTCTGCCTAAAACAGAACTAGAATTCACAATCTCTTGGTTTCTAGTTTGATGCCTAAGCGTCTATGTTAAACTGAAGTGTTATGTGTGTATAAAGGCAGACCAGCAGTATATTAGCTTGCACAAGAAATATACATACTGTTTATGCGCAGGAATTCCCATCATAAATTTCTTTGTTTCACATTATTTTAATGGGATGTAGACAGAGGGCACCAACAAATCAATCTAGAGAAGTAAAAACCTGAAATTGCAGAATTGTGCAATAACATCACACTATCCAATTCATTCTTCAATACTGATTTGCAAAACAAGACAGCAGCAAAGCCAGATGAAAAAAAAAACAATCAGCATTTCTGTAAGGACTGATGCACTCAATACATTATAGTTTGGCAGAGAATCACAACAGAGCAGAATATAAATTCATGGATAATCAATACTATGGAGGCATGTATGATGGAGAGATGAGTTGTGTTTTAAATCAACACATGGGAAATGGGTTCAGAATAGGACTTATATGTTCATAACTATGAACATGACTTCTCAACTAAATCAGATATGAGACTAATGCTATAATGTCAGGCACTTCAAACTTTACATATTGATACATTTTGATTGAAAGAGCAGACTAGGATAAAAGAAAGCAGGTTCAAATTCTCTCTTAAATAAACAACTCACTGTGTTATTGTGCAAATTAAATAAAAAAAGTCTGCTACTCTGATCTCCATGAGAAGAAAAATCGGATAAAAGGCTTGTTTGACTTCCATCTGCTACTTAATAATCTGACATTGTTCCGTTGCTAGCCAACCAAAACATTTTTTTTAAATTTTAACTCTTGAGTTAACATTAAGAGTCATTATTACAGAAGGTTTCAAATCTAATCTAAATCTTTATTGTTGGTTGAGCATTTGTTCATTAGTTGTTCACTAGTTGTTCATTATCAAACAATGTCATATTAATGCCCTATAAATTTTCTTTAATGAATAAGAAATGCTTATCTAATGGTTTCCCCAAAATATAATATTTTAGCTAACACATATTATTATAACACCTGAGAAGTATGCCAACATGAACAATCAATTGTACATTTTTTTGCAGCATCTTTCCATAGAAGCATAAGTATTTTATTGAATTAATTGGCTAACTTATAACAACTAATGCCAAAATAGTAAATCCTCCACTTTTGCTATATATTGCAGTTGTTCAGCATAAATCTCTTAACCATGAAATAAACAAAATACAAGACTAGCAAAAAATTTAACTTGCAAGCTAACTTGCAAGAATCTTTTTCCAATGTGGTGCTCTCCAAATGTGGTGTCCTCCAAATGTTGATTGGGAATGTTGGGAAATCCCAGAAAGCCCTAGGATTGCATATATCAGCATATACGGTTAGCCATTTCTAAGATAAATATTCTGGACATTTGCCAATTGCACAGTAGAAATACACCCAATGTAGCTTATTTTTTATTGTATAGCCATGAAGGAGAAAATGATTTTCTACCTGTTATATGTTTCAGGTATAGAAATCCAAGCCAACAAGGTATTGCAGAATGCTACTTAGTTAAGTAAATAACAATCAAGAATTTATAGAGCATCTTTATAAAGGTAGTCAGATCTGAATAATTAATCAAACAATAAACTTGCCAGCAATTATTACAATTCAAAAGAAAGGAAGAATAACAGTGATTGCAGAATTGATAGAAATCAATTACATTCTTCTTCTTACAGCATATCTGTCATTGAACATTAGCGATCATGTTGGCAATCCTATTTTTGTCAACAGCCGCATGAAAAATGCTGCTGAGTTTTGTCCAAACCAGTCCCTTAGGTTTTGGAGCCATGATGTTCTTCTTCTGCCTGGACCTCATTTGTCTTCAATCTTTCCCTGGAGGATTAAGTGAAGGATGTCGTATTTTTCTGCGTGTCACATTGCATGTCAAAAATATTCTTTCACTTTTTTATGGTTTTGATGATTTACCTTGGCTTTCCTAGACGGATTATCACTTCCTCATCTCTGATTTTGTCAACCCAGCTTATGTGTAACAGCCACCTGTAAATTCACATTTCAAATGCTTCTAGTTTCTTCAAGTGGTTTTCTGTCAGAGACCAAATCGGTACTCCATAGAGCAGGATAGAAAAGATGTAACATCTGAAAAGCCTGATTTTCAGACTTAAGCTTATGTTGTGACTGCAGAAGACCTTTTTCATTTTGAAGAATGCTGTTCGAGCTTTCTCTATCCTTGTCTTCACTGATCATGTCCGAGCTTTCATGTAAATTAAAACCGAGGTATGTGCTCCTTTCAACTTTTTCTAGTGGAATTCCTTCCAAATTTATCAGTGGTAAATCAATGGGTTGTTTGCTGACGGCCATGATCTTGGTTTTTGAGGTGTTAAGCTTCAAGCCACGTTTTTCAGATATTTCTGAGACTTGATGAGGAATTGAAGGTCTTCATGCTTACTGGAAAGCAGAACTGTATATCAGCATATCTTAAATTGTTGATCTGAACACCATTTACTTTGAGGTCAGAATCAATGTTTTCCAGTGCTTCGTTGAAAATTGACTCAGAGTAGATATTAAACAACAGCAGAGGCAGAATACAGCCCTGTTTGACCCCTCTTCGTATTTCTGCATCATCTGAGTACTTTTGGCCTAGTCTCACATTTGCTACCTGATGCCAATATAGATTCTTTATGATTTGGATGTCTTTGTCATCTAGTCCCACTTGTTTTAGAATTTGTAATAGTTTGCTGTATCTTATTTTATCAAATGCTTTTTCAAAATTGATGAAGCACATGTAAACACTTAGATTGCACCGTTAAATCAGTTTGGAAATTGACAGTGCCATCATAAGTGTGTCCATCTCAGAAGTCATTCCCACTGAATTCATTTATCAATGTGGAGTGGGGGATAGGTATATATGCTTATCATTTATTTTAGAGTATTTTGATGCCAACCACACCTTAGATCTATGTACTCAAAAAATGAAAGCGGTACAATTAAAGCAGATGGGTAAGGCAAGATGAAATACTTAAAACAAACAAGCATAGTTTGAGCTCTCTCCTAATATGTAATGCTTCAATCCCAGGGATAAGTTGTTCTACAATCTAGATCCACCATGAAAAAAACAAGATTAACCAGAATCTCAAATAAATCCAGGGAAGGACTTGCAAAAGATGCCCTAATGGCTGAACGAAACCCCAGACTGAAAGATTTATAGATAAACTTTCTGTCTTTGTTTTTTTATTTGGGATTACAATCTCACAATTCTTTTGCAATAATCAGGATTCAGGACCAGCCATTACTTTTTTATTAGCAGATGGGAGGTGACCCCATTCAGCTGCCTCCTGAGGCAGAATGAAAGAATGGGGTCACTTTCCATATTCTAATTAAAAAAAAGATTTGTCTGGGATGTTTCTGAATCCTGATTATTACAAAGGAATTGTGAGCAAAGGGTGGGACTCTAATCTCAAACCAAAAACCAAAACAGAGTGCTTGTAACTCTTTCAACCAGAGGCCTGTATATTATTCAGCCACTGGGACATTTTATTCTAGTCTACTTTTTTCACCAAATGATAAGTAAAGATTTAGAAGCATTTTGTAACCTTCCATTGACCCTTCTGCTATATTTATCCATTTACTTATTTTCATCACTGAATAATGCTGCCACTAGCTGAAAAAACACAAAACTAAAGGAACTTAGTGTCTATGATCCAGCTTTGCTGGTGAAGAAGAGGATGGCTTGCACTCTCAACAAACTCAAAAGGCATTTGAAGTACTGGTTCCACTAACTCTACTAGACCAAATAAAGACATGAAGCCCAAGAGTCTGGAACAAAGGGCGGTCCTACCAGCCTAGATGTTCATGGTTTATGGTTAGTATCTAGAGCTCAGATGGATAGCATTTATAAAATAGGATTTGCGGGTGGGGGTGGAGATGTACAGTACAAGCAAATATACTTCTAACTTTGGCCTTAGTTTTGCCAGCACATAGTATGTAGTAGATACGTTAGAAATGTTGAGACGTTGAACCTAAACTGCCTGGTGGATTAGGTGCACCGAATTTAGGAAGGGCTCAAATGCACCAACTTGAAACAAATCATTCCCGTTTTAATCTTTCCTACTGCACGGTGATTCAATTCCGGATTCATTGCCAGCTGACAAAGGAGTTCTTGGTGAGAAGGCTGAGGAAAAGAAGCGTGACCAACAACAGTCTCCGCCTGCCACTCCAGAAGAGAATGGCGTTCAGCTGTGCGCCAGGAGAAAGAGCAGGGCACGGCGCTCACAGCTGGCCAGTGGCCTCTCTCATGCTAGCGAGACTTCATTTCCTCCCCGACTCCCACTCCGAAATCTTTTAAATCTTTTTAAAATCTTTTAAAAATCCTTTCAGCCTTCTGCCGAAAAGAACCACAATCCAATTCTGCCAACCTTGGGCCCGATGCCCCAGAATAGTCCGACGCCCAGTCTTCTGTCCACCAGCGCCTGTCTCGGGAGTATCTGCAGCCCGCTCTCCCGCTGACTTACCTGAGATGCCTCCTCCGATCACGATCACGTCGCACTTGTGGTCGCTGCTCATGATGGCTGGCCACCGTCTCCAACTGTAGCTGTTGTTCCTGCAATCGCAGAGGTTCCTCGCCGACTGCCACCCGGACACAGCGACAGGGGCAGCCGTTGTAATGAGCAACACACCGCTTTCGTTAGCTCAACGGGAGACTCCGCCCGCTGCTGGCAAAGGGCGGCCAAGTCTGTGGCTCAGCCAGTGAGCCTCACCTGAGCTCAAGGATTCGCCCCTGTGGTTCCCCGGCGGCAGGGATATAGCCGCTGCTTAAGGCAGGAATCACCAGGTAGGAAATCAGTAAATGAAGTCGATTGGAGAAGTAGATAACGTGAAGGCTTCACCCGTTGAATGCCCTGGTGCTGTTCAAGGCAGAAATAAGTACTTAAAATACTTCCTAAAGGAATAATGTGTCTGATACCACTGGACTGAGTCTTGCCCAAAAGTACAGTGTAGAGATCCAGTCTCTTATATGCTTCTGTTATATATACACACACACACATACACACACACACACACACCAGTGATCCATGCATAGCTTTCCTTCACAATAAGCCTGTCAGTCCAATTTCTATCCAGTTATTTTCTGCTGTCATTTTATTTTATGTACTTCTACTGAAATCCAATTGGCATTCAGCTTCATTTCAATGCATTCATACTGAACGTAAGCATTCTTTACAATACAATGAGTACTTAGCTTGACTTGACTCTCATGAAAGCAGTGGATTGATATATGGGATGTTAATTTATATTTAAAAATGGCTTTCCCAATATATAGTTTGGAATATATATATTTCAGTGTTTTAATGTAGTAAGCATTGATTTTAAATCCTAATATATAATTGCAAAATAATAATGGAAACAGTCACCTAATTTCCAGAAAATTTAAATAGGAACAACCATAATCCAAATATTACCCATTGAACCCACAAAAAATTACCCTTTGGTTTTCTAATTTATATTTGATTTGTTGTTACTATTATTGGTTCTTTGCCTAGCCCTAGACAGCCAGATGTTTAGACTGGATTTTGCATTTTTATCCACCTATCAAATTTTTCTAAGGATCTGGGATAGGCAGATGTTGATGTTTGCTGGACACACTCATTTTTTTTTCTAAAGGCAGGATATAATTGATACTGAAGATACCAACATTGGCAATTGCATTATTGAGAGTGATTTTCATCTGCAGACCTAAAGCATCTGGGCTAAATTCTTGCTTCTTTTCCATTTCTAGATTTTTGCATTTTGCTCAATTAATTATTCTGATAAACTTGCATGCTCATTTGTGACCATTTGGATAGCCACCATCCTCATTTTGGATTTTGGTAGATGCAATGCCCCATGCAAATTTACTTCTAGGTTTAAAAAAAAACAGAGCATAGGATTAGATAGTTATGCATGAGCTGCAACGTTCAAAATTAAATAATTTTGGAAAATTTCAAAACTTTGTCAGGAGAGCAATGTGATAATAATATACAGATTACTAGAGTTGTAAATTACCTAATTCAGGAATCATTTTAATTTTTCAAAATTCTGATATTTGTTTGGAGGCAGCTGGATAATTCTGGGTGGAATTTCCAGTTAAAGGAAAGAAAGATTAATTAGCAGCAGGAAGAATATATACCCCCAAACCCTTATAACAGGATCTTCATCATCATTGGACCCCAAAGCCTGGTAAAATACTCACTAAGATCTTCAACAGTTTCCTGAACATTATCAGAGTGAGAACTGTCGAAGTGTCTGAAAGCATATGTTCCATAAGGCAGGTGCCAGGTGTCATTAAAATATTCTGATTAAAAAACAAAGGGAAACCACAAGCAATAAATCTTACTTTAAGATTCAGAGGTTTATTTCACAAGCAATTTGGAACATGAATAGCCAACATAGCAATGCAATTTCATAACAAACATATATGATTAAACCATTGCAATGGGGTCCAATGATATATAGCAAGTCCTGCAAGGACTGCAGGACACCATTCTTATCTCAAGTCATATTTCTTATACCTTCTTTTTTACTGACATACACATTCCGTAGTTTCACTTCCTTGTTCTTTCCTACTTTCTTACTGACCATCACTTTTTGTAAACATCCATGTATATTTGAAGCTCTCAGCTATTTGTTACTTTCAGTTCCTCATTTCCCACCAGCTCTTCCTGCTCTAAATATATTCATACAATTACCTACTTTGCAGAAAATGCAGCACACAAGTCATTTCAGGTACTGAGGATTTAATAGCTGCCAGCTGATGTAAGGTTGTAAGCTGTAATTTGTAAGCTGATGCAATGAGGATGATTCAGCAATACATGTATCGCCAGTTTAAGACTGGTGGGGTGGAGACTCTGCTGAGGTATCTATATATATACGGTAAGTGGCCATTAGAAAGCATCTCTCTCTCCCCCCCCTCCTCTCTCTCAACTGTATAAAGGCTCTATGTGCTGTGTACTCTATTTTGCTCCTGGGTTTATCTCATATTAATAGTCATGCTGCCAAAATTCTTACAAGTCACCACATTAGAAATATGTCTGATACATTTTGCAATTATGTTAGTTTAAAATTTTGATTCAGTGAGGCTTGCAAGACTACTCCTAGACCTTATTACCTGCAACTTTCCAATGGAAAGTCCAATGGTGCTGGCTGTTCCTGCATAAGGGAGACTGCTCTTCTTGAAAGGGAATCCCCATTTCCAATTGTGTCTGGAAAGGTGTCTGGCTTGTTCAGGCAGCCTTCCCTCATGCAGTTGCCTGACCACCTCCTCTTCCTCTCCAGAGATCTCTCAAAGGCAGAAGTCAAACTTGGAGGAAACTGCAGCAGTCATCCTCTGCCTCCTGTGGGGGGCCAGGCAAGGCTGGAAGGGGGGATCCAGAAGTCTCCAGCAGAGGAAGGTGAGACCAGGATAAGCACCAAAGCCTAGTCCACCAGAGGAGCTTTGCTTTCCCTCTTAGGCCATGTAGAATACTCCCTAATGGCAGCGTGGGCTGCCCGGAGCTCTGGGCATGGAGAGCAAGTGGCCAGCCCAGCTCCTTGGGCACTGGGACCCCACTGCCCAGCACAAGCCCTGCTTCCCCAAGGGGTTACCTGGCTGTGCTTACCTCCTCCTGAAGGCTGCTGCTGTGCTTGCTCTCCTTGGCCAGTTGCTCATGGTGGGTGCGGAAGGGAAAAGTTCATGGGTCACAGGGAGACTCATTTTCTCTCCATGTGAGGACCCAGATTTGCAACCAAAGCATCCTCAGTGATAGGATGGGAGACCACCAGGAGGAGGCTAGCAGGGCAGCAGGGCTGCTGGTGGCCAGGTGCTAAGGCAGACTCAGACCCTCCCTCCCTCTTTCCAATCTCCTTCCTTCCTTCCCCTCCACTGCTCAGGGCTCCAGGCAGCCAACACCACCTTCTAGGGGTCCTCTGCATGACCTGAGAGGGACAGCGAGGCTCCTCTGGTAGGCTAGGCTTTGGCACCCATCCTAGTCTCACCTTCCTCTGCTGGAGACCTCCAGATCCCCCCTTCCGGGCTTGACTGGCTCCCCCACAAGAGGCAGAGGATGATACTGCTGTCTGTGGAAGTCTGGAGGAGAATGTTTGCAGGAAGCAGTTTCCTCCAAGTCCAACTTCTGCCTTGACAGATCTCTGGAGAGGAGGAGGGGATGGCGAGGGAACTGTGTGAGGGAAGGCTGTCCCAACAAGCCAGCATCCTTATGTAGCATGATTGGAAATGGGGATTTCCTTTCAAGAAGGGGCAGCCTCCCTCATGCAGAACCAGGGAGCACTGCTCCCTTGCCTCCTCCTTTTGTTCTCCAGAGATCTGTCAAGGCAGAAGTGAAACTCAGAGGAAACTGCTACCTACATTTTTTTTCCCTCTGCACTTCTACATGCAGCAGTTTTGCTGGGAGGGGACACCAGGCAGGGAAATGCCAATGATGTCATGGACTGGGAGAAGAATCTCTCTCTCTCTCTCTCTCTCTCTCTCTCTCTCTCTCTCTCTCCCCCCCCCCCTCCCCCCCCCCCTCCCCCCCCCCCTCCCCCC